GGCCATACAGTTTATAAGTGATATAAGCGTCTGAGTGATTATTTTATACGTGGATTGTGGGACTGCGGGGCTTTGGGGACCTGGAGAGAAGCCCTCCAGCTACACTCCATGGTGTACTTTTGGCTTCTTTGTCAAAACTCGGGTGTCTGTGGATGTGTAGACTTACATCTGGGTCATTAATTTGATTCCATTGATCAACATGTCTGTTTTGATGACATGCTGTTTTTATTACTATAGCTCTGTAACACAAATTGAAATCTGGGATAGTGAAATCTTCAAGTGTTCTTTTTATTATTTAGAATTTTTAAAAGATATCCTGAGTTCTTTATGTTTCCATATGAAAGTTTTTGTTATCCAATTTTTATTAAGAATTGTTGGAATTTTGATGGTGATTGTATTGAATCTGTAGATTGCCTTTGGTAGATAGGCATTTTCACTATATTAATCCTATTGATCCATGATCATGGGAGATCTTTCCATTTTCTGATATCTTCTTCAATTTCTTTCTTCAGTGTCTTACAGTTTTGGATGACTTATTTATTTTTTTATTTTTATGTGCATTGGTGTTTTGCCTGCATGTGTGTCTGTGTGAAGCTGTCAGATTACCTGGAACTGGAATTACACACAGTTTGAGCTGCCATGTGGGTGCTGGGAATTGAACCCAGGTCCTCTGGAAGAACAGTCCAGTGCTCTTAACCACTGAGCCATCTCTCCAGCTCCCATCTTACATTTTTTATTATACAGATCTTTCACTTGCTTGGTTAGAGTTACCCCAAGGTATTTTTTTTTTTTGAGGCTCTTGTGAAAGGCACTGTTTCTCTGATTTCTTCCTTCCAGTCTGTCATTTGTATATAGGAAGGTTACTAATTTTTGTGTGCTAATGTTATATCCTGATACTTTGCTGAAATTATTTATTAGCTGTATGTGTTTCCTTATAGAGTCCTTAGGATCCTTTATGTATAAAATAATATCAACTGCAAGTAAGAATACGTTGATTTTTTTTCTTCCCAACTTGTATCCCCTTGATCCCCTTCAGTTGTCTTACTGGTCAGGCTAAGACTTTAATATGTATGGAGAGAATAGACAACATGATCTTGTTTCTGGTTTTAGTGAAAATGCTTTGAGCATCTCTCTGTTTAGGATGATGTTGGCTGTGGGCTTGTTGTAAACTGCCTTTTTTATGTTGAAATATGTGCTTTTTATTCCTTGTCTCTCTAGGACTTTCATCATGAAAAAATGTTGGATTTTGTCAAAGGCCTTTTCTGCAACTAATGAGATGATCATGTGGTTTTTGTCTTTCAGTCTGTTTATGTGGTGCATTAAATTTATTAATTTATACATGTTGAACTATCCCTAAATCTCTGGGTTAAAGCCAACTTGACCATGGTAGATGATCTTTTTGATGATGTGTTCTTGGATTTGGTTTGCAAGAAACCAAATTGAGAACTTTTGTGTCTATGTTCATAAGGGATATTAGTGCAATTTTGTTTTTGGGGGGTCTGTGTGTGGTTTGGTTTCAGGGTAATAGTAGCTTTGTAAAAAGAATTAGGAAACATTCCTTCAGTTTTTATTTGGTGGAATAATTTGAGAAGTATTAATGTTAGTTCTGCACTGAATCCATTTGGCCCTGAGGTGGTTTTAGCTGGGAGGTTTTTAGTTACTGCTTCTGTTTCACAAGAGGATGTTTAAACTGTTGATTTTATCTCGATTTAACTCTGGTAGATCACGGAGATCAAGAAATGTGTCCATTTCTCTTGGTTTTGCAGTTTGGTGGAGAACAGATTTTAAAGTATATCCTTACGATTCTCTTTCCTCTGTGTTTATTGTAATATTTCCATTTCCATCCCTAATTTTATTTTCCTTTCCATCTTTTCTCTCTGCCTTTTGGTTAATTTAGCTACAGGTTTGTTAATCTTGTTGATCTTTTCAAAGGACCAACTCTTCGTTTAATTGATTCTTTGTATTGTTCTCATGTTTGTATGTTTCTACTTTATGGATTTCAGCCCTGAGACTGATCATTTCTTCTTCTCTATTCTTCGGGGGTATTAATCCTTTTTGTTTTCCTAGAGTGCATCGTTAATATGGAATTTCTCCAGATTTTAAATTTTATTTATTTTTTGTGTAGACCTTTAGTGCTATGGCTGTCTTCATTATAACCCATAGGTTTGGTATGTTGTGTTTTCATTTTTATTCAATTCTAGAAAGTTTTACATTTTCTTCTTGGCTTCTGTCTTGACACAATTTTCATTCAGTAGAGTTGTTCATGTTCTCTGAGTTTTGTACTTTGTCATTGCTGTTGTTGATAACCAACTTTAGTGGATGGTGGTCAGATAGGCTGACATTATTTCATCTTTTCTTGAGACTTGTTTTCTGTTCTAATACGTCATCAGTTTGGGAGAAAGTTCCATGGGCTGCTGGGAAGAAAGCATGTGCTTTAGTGTTTGGGTGCAATGTTCTGTAGATGTTTATTAGGTCCATTTGATTTGATTTGTTTGTGTTTTGAGGCAGGGTTTCTCTGTGTAACAGTCCTGGCTATCCTGGAACTCGCTCTGTACACCAGAGTGGCCTCCAACTCATAGAGATCCACCTGCCTCTGCCTCCCAAGTGCTAGGATTAAAGGTGTGCACCACTATTGTCCAGCTGAGGGATTTTCTTTCTTAATGAAATATTTTTCATTCTCTGTCAATTGTGATTGATAATTTTGCTGGGTATGGTAGTATGGTAGGCATTTGTCCTCTCAGAGTTTTTTATTCAGCTCTTTTGGATTTCTCCATTAAGAATAGGTCTGCCTTTATATGTTGTCTTTTACAGCTTTTAATATTATTTCTTCTGTACATCTAATATTTTGATTGTTAGGTGTTGTGGTAAAATTCTTTCCTTGTTCTGTCTATTTGGTGTTCCATATGTCTCTTGTACCTTAAGAGGCATCTCTTTTTTTTCAGCATGGGGAAAATTTCTTCTATGATTTAGTTGAAAGTATTTTCTTTGCCTTTGCCTTGTTTTTTTTCTCCTTCTGGTATACCTATTATTCATAGATTTGGTCTTTCCCTAGTGTTCCATATTTCCTGGATGTTTTGTGACTGGAGTTTGTAGATTTTATATTTTCTTTGACTGAATTAGTTATTTCTTCTATTTTGTCTTCAAGACATGGAATTCTCTTTTCCACACCTTTTAATCTGTTGGTAAGGTTTACTCTGGAGGTTTTCACTTAACATCCTGGGTTTTTCATTCCCAGTTTTATTTTAGTAGAGGTTCTCTTTATTGAATCTACTTCTTTGTTAAATCTATTTTGATGTTTTGAATTGTTTTCATTATTTCATTCAGCGGTGCTTTCATGGTCCTCATTAAGGCATCCATATTCTCTTCATGGTCTTTGAACATATTCATAAGCACCATTTTGAAATTCTTGTCTTGTGCTTCAGCTAAGTTGCTTGTCTCGGCCTAATTCAGTAGGATTGCTGGTTTCTGGAGGAGATGTTTTACCTTGGTTGTTTTGGTTTTTTGCTGGGATCCAGGCATCTGGAGTTACTGATGTTTGAGGTGTGTCTTGGTGTAGACATCCGGTCTGGCCTTTGTTGTCTGGCTGTTCCATCCTTGGTTGCTGTTGCCTCATCTGGGTCCCAGCCAAAGGTGGAGGCTGTGGGATCCCCGAGTCTCAGCCGAGTGTGGAGGCTGTGGCTTCCCTCTTTCTGCAGGTTTGTGGTGAGTCACAAAGAACTGAAGACGCGCTGGAAGAAAAAACTGAGAGGGTCAGCGGGACGAGCCAGGGGGACCGTGGGTCCCAAGAGGATGAGGTAGTCTGGGAGTAGGGCAGGCTGTTGCAGGACCAAGGGTAAGTCCGAAGAGGCCGGAATGGAGGACAGGGAGGAGGAGGATGGTTCCCCCTTCTTCCCCAGCCTAGTGTGGCAGCTTAGATTCCTGGTAGAAAGAGGTTTTAACAGTTTGGTTGAGTCACAAAGGCCTGGGGATATGCTAGAAGGGTTTTGTTTGTTTAGTTTGTTTTTTTTAAATAAACAAACAAACAAACAAACAAAAAAAAAAAAAACAGGGTTTCTCTGTGTAGCCATGATTGTCCTGGAACTTGCTCTCTACACTAGGTTGGTCTAGAACTCAGAGATCCACTTGCCTCTTTGCCTCCCGAGTGCTGGGATTAAAGGCCATCACCACCTGCTAGAAGGAAACGCAGAAAGGGGTCACCAGCCAGATATTTTACATTTTTGAGACGATGTGAAGGGGATCGTTTTTCTGATTTATTTCTTAATATGGCTGTTGCTATATAGAGCAATAATTGATTTTTGCTTATTAATTTTATATACTGCCACTTTGCTGAAATACTTTATCAGCTGTAGGAGTTTTCTGGTGAAAGATTTAGGGACTCTTATGTCTAGGAACATATAATCTTCAAATAAAGATATTTTAGAATCTGCTTTTCCTACTCCTATGCTTTTATTTTCTTCTCCTGTCTTATTGCTCTAGCAAAGATTTCAAGTACAATATTTAGTAAGAGTGAAGAAATGAACACTCTTGCATTGTTCCTGACTGTAGTGGAGATACTTTTGAGGGTTTTTTCCCATTTAGTATAATCTTTGCCATAGGTTTACCATATATAGCCTTTATTTTGTTGAAGTACATTACTTTCAAGTTTTTTTTATCATGATTTTGGATTTTTGTCAAAAGCCTTTTCTGCATCAAGTCAGATAATCATGTTTTTGTCATTGATTCCATTTACGTGATATGTTAAATGTATTGATTTCTATATGTTGACCTGTCCCCGCAACTCTGGAATGAAACCAACTTGAAAATAATGAATAACATCTTTGATATGCTATTAAATTTGGTTTATATAACTAGTTTGTATTTATGTACATTAGGGAGATTGGTTTATAATTTTATGTTTTATTGTGTGGTTATCTGGTTTTAGTATCAGGGAAATACTGCCTTCATACAAGAATTTGGTAAAATTCTTTTTTCTACTCATGGAATAGCTTGAGAAACATTGGTGTTAGCTCATTTTTAAAGGTCTGCTGAATTCAGCAGGGAATCCATGTGGGCCTGGAATTTTTTCAATTGGAAATTTTGTAGTTTTTTTTAAATTACTACTTCAATCCTATTATTTGTTATAGATTTGTTTAAATTGTTTCTCTCATCTTGGTCTCATTGTTATAAAAACCATAGATCGCTGTATCTAGAAATTCACTAATTTATTTTAGATTTTTCCAATTTTGTAGAGTATAAGTCTTTACCTAGTGATTTTTAATATTTCATTGGTATTTGTTATAATGCCTCCATATCCATCTCTAATTTTTATTCATTTTGGCCTTCTCTTTCTTTTGGTTAGTTTGTCTAAAGGTTTGTGACTCTTGTTTATTTTTTCAAGGAACCAATACATTGTCTCACTGCTTCTTTATACACATTTCCCTTTCTTTTCCATGACTCTTAGTATAGGAAGTCCAAACCTCAAGAAACATGGACAAGATTCTCGAGAATAGATAAAAGTTCCTGACCAGAAACTGGAGAGAAGTGCGATTTTCCAAGGCATGGAAGAAGGAAAAACTCCAGCTTCTATCCAGGTTGGGGAGACAGGGAGGGGGGGGGGG